CTTCCATGTGAGCCTTTTTTTTTTCCCATGACTGGAGCCAGCCCTGCCACAAAACTCCTGTAAAATGGCTCTCCAGGGAGGGGTTTGGGTGAAATTCCAACAGACACGTGGCTCATGGCTGGGTCTCCTGCCCACAGATGGATTTGTCTCCCATGACAGAGCTGCTGCTGAGTGAAGCTGCTCAGTCCAACCCCTCAGGGCTGGGTTTGGGGTTCAAACAGCCTCTATTTTTGATGTATTCCAGGAGCACGAAACAACATTCTGCTGATGTGTGAGATGCCTTTGCTGCTGTACCATGATATGATTTGCTTCTGTAGATCATTTCTAAATCCCATCCCTGGCCACCTTTGTGCCCTGATGTGATGTCTCCTTTCTCCAGTCTGAGGAACAACATGCTTGCTTTTATTGCTATTTATTGCTGGTTTATTGCTGGCTTTATCAGCCAAGTTGCTGAGAAGGTTAGTTTGTGGAAATTCCTTTGCATCTTACAACCATATTCCCACCCTTCTGCATCATTCCTTTTGCATCAGTCTTGCAGAGCTGTGTCTGTAAATTAATTGTTTAGTGACTGGAGGAAAGACAATAAATTAATAAAACCAGGACACTGTTGATTTTGTCAGTCCAGGATCCAGGTGAACACTCCAGGCAGGTCTATCAAGAAGCTTTTCAGAAAGGAGGTTTTGTTGCCTAAGAAAATACAAACAATTGAATTTCCTGGAAGAGTCTGATACAAATTTGGGTGAAATCAAAGCTTGCCAACCCCCTGTTAACACTATATTACATAACTAGTGCAGATTATTATGCTTGAGGGAGAGAGAATTCCCCAAAGAGCATCAAGAGTCAGAAAAAAAACCCAAACCCAACTCATTGCTATTGTGGAAAAAAAGGGAGAAAACTTTGGCAAAATGCTAAAGGAAAATTTGGGCAGTGGAGGATCACAGAAATGATTGTGCTGGCTCAGAGCAGAGTCCAGTGAGCAGCCTCTGCCAGAGCCAACAAGAGATGCTCAGATAAAAGCACAGAAGGCAGCAAGCACTCTGTGATATTTTCCCAGTCTACTTTCCCAGCTCCCAGCAATTAGCATCTCAAGGACTTCCTGAGCTGCCAGGGCTGTCCTTGGATTTGATATCCCCCCATGGATTTGTTTCACATGCTCTCGTTGCAGTTGTTCTCTGAGCCCGTGCGGAGTCGCAGCATCCGCTGTGATCCCCCAGCAGGAGCTGCAGGGCACGGAGCATCCTCCCCCTCAGGGCAGCAGTGACCACTCTGGGGACCCCGGAGGAGACTCCAAAAGGGACCAAACCCGGGACTGCTGGAGCCAAAAGTGTAAAACTCAATAGTTTGGGCAAAACGTGGCTCAAAGGTGGTTTAGACCTGTGTGCCCTGCAGGTTCAGCCTCACGGCAGGCTGGTTGCTGGTATCTGCTCTCAGAAGATGAGCATGAACCACCAGTTCTGGAAGTATCTGAGTGTGTTCAGAGTCATGTCCCAGTTGGGAAGCTTGGTTGACTTTTTGTGGGTTTTGGGGTCAGCGGGCAAATTTTGGTTTCACTGAAGTCAGTGGGATTTTCTCCAGTGATTTCAGCCTGGCTCCATCAGTGCTGACGACTGGCTGGGAGTGGAAAGGAAAAAAGTTGGGTAAAGTTGGTTTTGGGGCATGAATGCAGACAGGACTGAGATGTTTTATAAATTCTTCTTGGTTTGGTGAAAAACAAAAGTCAGGAAAAGTAAGTAAATTCCTCCAAGATGTATTAGACCTTTTGTTACAGATGTTTGCTGACTGTAAAAGTCTACTCTCCTGTTTTTTTCTGCTTGAAATGTGTTTTCCAATAGCCATTCCACCAGTGTATATGTATTTTTATATATGTATATATATGTGCATATGTGTTGTTTGGGGGAGCATTATAGATTCTCTACAAAATGTGAGTCAAACCATATCTTGCTCTGCTCCTTTTCCCAGTTGCCCAGTTGTTTAAAAACAGGGGTTTGCCCTCCTTGTTCCATTCCCAGCCCCACACGAGCTATGGGATCACTGATGGCAGGGCAGATTTCTGCCCCTTCCCTTTGCATTTCCAATCCTCTCTTGCTAATGGTCTTGATCACCAGGATAGGAAACAGGAAGCAAGTCCCTAAAATTGTGATGACAGAGCGAAATCTTGAGGTTAAATATGAAGACATAGAGAGGAAATCTTGTCTTTGTAGTTTGAAAATGCTTGTTTTAGGAGTGGTTTCATTCACCTGGCCCAGGGTAGGGTATGAGCAGAGCCCCTGATGTGCTGGTTCAGGTGATGCCCAGACACAGTTCAATGAGGCTTAGGTCCTTTTCAATCCATCACTGCCATGTCAGATTAGCATCTGAGCCCCTTAAAGTGTTATAAACCCCACTTTCTCTCCTCAATTCTCATTAGTTTATTCCAGAATTTCAAGCTGAAGCGTTGTGTCTGGAGCGATCCCACTGAATAGATTCAAAGCGAGAAATCCACGTTTCACCCGGTGTTTACACAACCCGTCAGCCTTCAGGGTATTCCCAGCACAGCCTGTGGCCAACTTTGTTTGTACACAAAACATTTCTCCAATTTATTATGGTGCCTGCTTTCCTTTAGGCTGTGATGGCTGAGCTCACCCCGAGTGTGAGCAGGGGCAGCTTTGGAGCCCATGATGGGAAACGCCAGGAGATCCTCCAGCCCACGTTGGGTCGGGTGGTGACACCTCTCCAGCAAAACCTCCAGGGCTCTGTGTGAACATCCTCACTTTCTCACCTCCTTTTCTCTCCCTGGACAGTCACCATCCAACATCTCTGGCTCGTGGTGCTCCCTGCAGCAGCAGGGTCCCTGGCACCAGAGCTGGCACAGCACGTGCTCAGCAAGTGCTTTTCCAAAGCCCTGCTCTCTTTGGATGATATACATTTCCAAGAGAAGTGTCCACGGAGCACAGGAGTGATGTGCACTTCTCTCTGGGATCCCTCCACTGTTTCCAATCCATGGCACTCAGCCAAAACAGGCTTCATGACCTGCAGGCTATTCTTTCCCCTGATTTCAGTTTCAGATATTTCTGCTTTGGGCACCTTTTTCAGAACTGAGACTGCAGTGGTTTTGCTTGCCCACATTCATGGAGGAGCTCAGGAGCAGAATGTCACCCCCACACCTCCCCTACTGTGCATCATCTCACTCTGCTTTCGGGGAAAACGTTGGATATTTTGTCCAGAGACAGCAGCAACTGAGATTTCAGACCTACAAACCCAAATCAGAAGAGGGTCTCTAACAGCAGACTGGATCACAGCCCCGGGGGATAAGACCCTTCTCACTCTGTGTTTGTGCAGCCCTGAGCGTGGGGGCTCCTTCTGCACAGAGGAAAACCAGCCCAAAATAGCCTCGTTAGCCAGGAAAGTACCGATGGTGGCCCAGATGTTTCAGTCCCCTGGGGTTTGCAGCCACAGGTGGCACTGGCAGGCAGCAGCGTCCCAGGGTGCAGGGGGTGGAAGCAGCAGAGAAATGGGCTGGCATTTTTTGGAGGGGAGGGCAGATTGCATCCTTTGGAATGTCGTTCCAGCCGCTGGCCTCCCTCCCCCGACCCCTACGGAGCGCTCTGAACTCCCACTCGCTGGCTAATGACGGGACCCCTTGCGTGAGTGTGAGGAGCCAGAGCCAGCGCTGCAGGGAACACGCCTCTGCCTGCCAGGAGGAGGGAGCCAAGCACGCTCCTCTCCCTCTTTTCTCCCAAGATTTCCAGTCTCGGTGGCTGGATGCCGACTTCCCTCGTCAGTGCAACAACGCGGGATTAGCTTGGAGCTGGTGTGTGAGGAGGGGAAGAGGTGAAGGGGAGGTTGGTGTGAGTGCTCAGGACTCCCAGGAGCGTGCAGGTCCCCGGGGGGTGGGGGCTGGACTGTGTGTGAGCTTTATATCAACAGATTAGCTGGGGGTGAGGAATGAGTGAGGGCTGCTGTGCAGCCACTCCTTCCTCCCCGAGCACCTAAGTCTAGAATCACAGCATAGTTTGGGTTGGAAAGACCTTCAAGATCATCTAGTCTCACCCCCACCTTCCACTAGCCCAGGTTGCTCCAAGCCCCGTCCAACCTTGGACACTTCCAGGGATGGGGCAGCCACAGCTTCTCTGGGCAACCTGTGCCAGGGCCTCCCCACCCTCACAGGGGAGAATTTCTTCTCAATATCCCATCTAACCCTGCCCTTTGTCAGTGGGAAGCCATTCCCCCTTGTCCTGTCCCTCCATGCCCTTTGCAGCCCCTTTAGGCACTGGAAGGGGCTTTAAGGTCTCCCCAGAACCTTTCTTCTCCAGGCTGAACAGCCCCAGCTCTCCCAGTGTCCTCCAGCATTTTGAAAAATCTCACCCTCCATTTAGTGAAAAGTTGCTCGGTTCCACCTCATTTGGCTTTCAAGTGCTTAAAAAAAAAAAAAAAAATCGAGTCCAAGAGCTACAATCCCTCCAGCACAGCCCATTCCCCAAATCCTGTCCCACGGAATCTGTTCGGGGCTGCACGAACGGGGGCGAGGGGACCCCCGATGTGGTCAGCTCGGACAGCTTGTCCTGTCCCTGCAGCCGCGGGCACCCCGGGGACACCCACTCACGGGGCCACCACCTCTCCCCCTCCTTCTTCCCTCCTCCGGGGGTGCCGGGGGTTCCATCGCGGGGGAGAGAGGGTGGTCTTCGTTCCCCCCGTCCAAATTCTCCTGCGCTGGCCGGCGGAGCGGTCCGCGCTGTGCCGGGGCAGGGAGCGGCTCGCGGGCGGGATGCGCAGCCCGGAGAAAGGGAATGCTGCGGAGCCCAGGGGAAGGGATGCGGAGCCTGAGAAGGCAGCGGGGCGTTGAGCGGCTCCCGGGGGGAGCGGCGGGGCCGGGGCGGGCGCTGGCGCGCTTTATAGGCGGGCGGCGGGCGAAGGGCTGAGCCCTCCCCGTCCCCACAGACGCAGCGGGGCGGTGGCCCCGGTTAAAGGGGACCACTTGACAGCGCCGCCCGCCCGCTCCGGCTCCGCGCCCGCGTCCGCTCACGCAGCCCAGCCCCGCTCGCTTCCGCAGCGACGTGAGTACGAGCGGGCCCGCGATGGGCCGGGGGGCGACCGGGGAGGGGAGGGGAGCGGCCACACACCGAGCGGGAACAGGGGCTGCGAGAACCCTGGGAGAGGGACTGGGAGCACCCCTTCCGCCGTACACAAGGATCCCCTAGGGAGAAGGGTCGGGGCAGCCCCCTCCGCTCTCACTGAGGGTCCCGAAGGGAGGTGGGCTGGGGTGAGCTCCTTCCTTCAGCCCGGGAGGGGGTCCAGGAGAGCCGCTGTTGGCTGTGCCAAGGGGAGATAGCTGAGGAAAGTCTCCCCCACCCCTGGAAAGGGTCCAGGAGAGCCTCTGTTGGCGGTGCCGAAGGGAGATTGGCCGAGGGCACCCCCGGAGAGACGGGCCGAGGTAGCTCGCTGGGGTGAAATGGGCCGAAGTAGACGCCCCCTTCCCCCCCACCCCCACGGGGGTCGTCCGAGAAAGCCTCCGCTGGGGAGAGGCCCGACAGCATCACCCCCGGTGGTCCCATGGGTGGGTGGGCAAGGTACCACCCCCCTTGCCGCGGAGTGGGGCCGGGGCAGCCCCTCGGGTGAGATGCGCCGACATCGAGCCTTCCCGCCGCGGGCGGGGGGGCGAGGAGCACATTCCCCTTGCGGAGAGGGATCGGAGCCCCCCTCGGGGGAGAGGGGCTGGGGGAGCCTTCTCGGGGAACCGTCCCCCTGGGGATCCTGGAGAGGGGGGCTGGGGGAGCCCCCTCGGTGAGGTGATTGGGGATCCTCGGTGAGGTGACTTGGGGGATCCGGCTCGGGGCGAGGCCTCGGAGGACCCCCGGGGGTATCGGGAGCGGGTCCGGGCAGAGGGCTCGGACCCCCGTCCGTCGGTGAGGCCGAGGGAGGGGGCCCGGGCGGAGGGCGCTGCCCCAGCAGGATGCCCCGGAGCCGGCGGGGCGGAGCGGAGCGTCTCCTGCTGCCCCCGGCCGGCCGGCCCGGACAGACGGACAGACACACACACGGAGACACGCACACGCACTCAGCAGCATCCCTGTCCCCCTCCAGTTCTGCCCTCCACCGCCGCCAAGATGCTGCTGTTGCTGCTGGGGATCATCGTGCTCCACGTCACCGTGCTGGTGCTGCTCTTCGTCTCCACCATCGTCAGTGTAAGTACGGATTTTCCCCTGGCACCGGGGTGCCAGCGAGCCAGGGACATGGCATGGCAAGAGCAGGAGGTGGTATTTTTATTTATGGCCTATTTTACAGCCTGGCTCTTAGCAGGAAGCTTTCACTTGCCGCTTGCTGGTCTCACTAACAGTGGGATTTGGGGATTTCGGAGTTTGTGCTGTCAGGTGTAACTGGTGGGGTTTTGTTGTGTGTGGTGTGGTGGGTGCTCAGGGCATTCACAGTACAGAGCAGTGCTGAAGCCCATCTCCTCATCGTCCCTGCGTTGGTCCATATCAGGGAGCAGTCTCAGAGCACCCAAAATCCCCTCCATGGGGGTGATGCTGCTTTCACTCCCCTTTCATGAGGGAGCCCCACCTGCTAATGGGCTCCAGCCCACAGGACCAGTACAGCCAGTTCGAGCGAAGCCCCTTGGCACGGGGCTGATTTGGGCACTGGCTCCTCGGCACCGGCAGTTCTGCTCCCCAGCTCTGCTCCTCTGGGGCTGTGAATTAGGCACAGACTGTTTCCTAACCCAGACGGGCTCCTGCTGGTGATTTCCAAGGCTTAAACTTTGCGAGGAGCGGGAAGACTGAGGGCTGGATGCGGCACAGAGCCTTCCCAGCACTGTCCTCGGGCTGGAGCCCAGTGAACACGTCAGCTGCTCGGGAAAAAGTTTGACTTGGTTTTAAGGCAGCCGTTCTGTGGAGCTGGTGACTCGCAGGGTTGCTTCACCAGGGGCTTCTTCGCGTATTTTTTTTTTCTCTCTCTCTCTTTTTTTTTTTTTTTTTTTTTTTTTTTTGGTGGTAATAGTAGTGGAAGACGTTACAAAAATCTTCCGAGTCGTTAGGAATCACGTGGAAGCATTCAAATATCCCGGTCGGGAGGAGGGAAATGCGCATCCCCTCGGGACTCGCTCCGTGTTTAAAGAGCATAAAGAGCTTCTGTGTTTCTGCCGTTGAGGCGAAAGCAGTTAAAAGCAAATATCAGTATTTACTTTCCAAACCTCTCTCTAAAGGAAAGCGTGTGCCTGGGAGCTCCCGGCCGGGCAGACACGTGCCGGGGTGTGCTGGGGCTGCTCGGGGCAGAAGCTTTGAGGGGGGGACAGGGCGTCCTGCTGCCCCCAGGGCCCTGCTCACCGGGCTGTGTCTCTCTCGCAGCAATGGCTGGTGAACGGCGAGCACACGGCAGACCTCTGGCAGAACTGCACCTCTGGAACCATCTTCCACTGCCTGGCATCATCCAACAATGGTGAGTGCTCCCTGTTGCTGCCCCTCGCTTTTATTCTCCTCCTGGCACTTACGGAATCAAGGGGGGGTTGCCTGTGAGGGTTATTTGCGATTCCTTCTTGTTTTTCCCTGTGTCCCTGAAGTTGTTCCCTCCCACCCCATCCCCTTGCCTCCTCTGCTCTGTCCCCACACGGAGGGGAATGGCTCTGCTGTGGTCCTGGAGGGCCACAAAGGGGGGATTGCTCCCCCCACCCTTACGAGTCCTTGAAGCTGTGATGGGGCTTAGCAAGGAAACCAGACTCGATGCCCATCACCCTGCCCTGTGCCCTCAGGCTCCTGGCAGCACCGTGGCAGGGTGTTGGCACACTCAGCCACAGTGCAGGTGACTTGCTCGAGGCCTTTTGAGAGCTCTCCTGTTACTAGTCCATTTTTCCAGTTGGATGTATGAACAGGAGGTGGTCCTTGGAGCAGGGCTTGCTCTGTTGCCCTGCTGGGAGCAGAGGGGCTGTTTTGGGCACTCCTCCCTCTGCTCCAATGTGAGGGGGTTTTAAAGATGCACACAGTGCTCCAAGGACAGCCTGTTTCCAGAGGATACCCCATCCCTACCCAGGAAGCTGCCCTGTGCTTTCCTGCTGTGGTAGGCTGAGTTTTTGTGCACAACCCTTGCCCTGTGGTTTGCTGTGGGATGTGCTGAGCGCTCGAGTCCTTCTTCATCCCGCTGCTGAGAGGGTTCCCGTGGCACCCCCACATCTGGGGGGCTGAACAGCCACCTCTGGACCAAGCTGGGTGAAGGCTGATGTCACACTGGGTGACATCACCTAGCAAGCTGTTTGCTGAGGTCAGCAGGGGAGGAGACACCATGACACAGAGTTTCCAGGGCGATTTATGGTACCAGTAACACCAAATCCATGCTCAGGGGGTCAGGGAAGCCCGTGCCTCAGTTTCCCCAGAAGACAGAGCTAATGCCAGTGCTGCTGTGGCCAGCACTTGTTTTGTTAGCCTGGTTTTTTGCTTTCCTGTGGAAACAGATTGCCCCAGTGCAACCTCCAGTGCAAGCAGCTGTGAATCCCAGCGCTGTCACTGGAGGCACAGGCACTTCATGCCGGAAAACAGACCCGAGGTAGGAGCAAAGTGATGCCCCGTGGCCTTAGTGAGGAGGGAACAGTCACACTGAGAGCACTAGATGCTTCCAGAGGGTCTTGGAGCGATGGGAGACTGTCAGAGGGGTTCTGGAGATTGGGGATTTTGCTCTCCCTAGTGCTGCGAGCAAAACATTCGCGTTACCCCACGCAGGAAGGTGGGTGCTGGTATCTTCCCTTTGCCTTCCCCGGGCTGAAAGCAGCAGTGTGTCCCTGCACGGGCCCAGGCTCTGGTGTCGGTGGGAGTGGAGCTCCCACCGCTGGTCTCTGCTGACGCCTGGTGGTGTCCGGGACGGCCGGGAAGCGGCTGGATCGCATCCCAGGCGAGGAGCCTTCTGGAGTTGGCTGGTGCTGGCTATCTGCAGCGTAGGCAGCCTGTGCACGGCCAGTCATGCGAGCTCCGAACTGCTGAGCTTGTGCTTTGCAGTGAAAGGCAGCGACTGCCCCCAGGAGCCCCGGAGCCGAGGGCTCTAAAGCCTCCCCAAATCTTTTTGCTTTTCAAACCCGCGTGGCTTTTTCTGGATGTTTACAGGATGTTTGTGTGTTGGAGCTGCCAGTGTGGAGAGGGGCTTGTCTGAAATGCAGCTGGCTGGTTTCCTCCTCGCCTGACTGTCCTGCTGCGTGTTTTGAGTCTACGTGGAGTTGGACTGGATGGTCCTGATGGGTCCCTCCCAGCCCAGCATGTTCTATGGTTCTATGACTGAGCCACTTAAATTTGGGCTTCCCCGTGAACCCTTTGCAGTGATGATTTTTTATCATCAAAGGGACTGTAGTCAAGATGACCCTGTTACAAACACAGTCGAGCAGCTGAGTTGGGGTGATAGCCCTTATCTATGGAAGGTGTCCCTGCCCATGGCAGGTGGGTTGGAATGGGATGGTCTTTAAGGTCCCTTCCACCCCAAACCATGATTTTGTGATTGTGTGATTCTATGATAAGGTGCCCCAGTGAGATGCTCATTGAGCAGAAGTGCATCATGCCCAAGGCTTCAACAGCCCTCTGACAGCTCTTATTTATCCAAAGGTTCTGCTCTGGCATCATGAGAAGGGGGTTTTGCTTCAGCAAAAGCTTGTGCCCCATCCACCCTGGGGCAGGAGTGTGGGAGCAATGCAGCTGAGGACCTTCACCTTGTAAGGCCCTGGAGGCAGGATCCCGAGCTCACTGCTGCTGTAGGAACACAAAAGGATTTTTCCTGGGCTTGCATAAGGCTTTTAAGATCTGTTTGTAGAAACAGACAAAAAATGCCACATATCCTTTCCAGCAGGTCCTGCTCCCTCCCTCCCTGCTGTCCATCCCTTGCTCCCACTGCTACCAGGGGAGCTGCTGTCCTATTTGGAGCAGTAGCAACACAGGGCAAGGATGCTGGGGCAGAGCCACCTCTGAGGCTCACACTTGTCTCCTGCCTCATCCTTATGCTCCTCATATGCTCTTTCCTAGGAATAAGCTTACTTTCAAAAATAGGAGTGATCCCCTGTCAAATACCACAAACCATCCTCGGTTCCATCCCTCTCAGGACACGGGCTGTGCTGCAGGAGGATGCAGACAGGCCTAAGAATTCCTTTCCCTGTGCCAAGGATTGTACTTAATGGTTAATCCTGGAGTGCCAAGGTCTGCTCTGGGCTAAGAGCAAGGAATCCTCGTTTGGGAACTTTGGCAGAACTCACTCTTTACACAGAGGCAGTTTTTCTTCCGGCCAGCGCAGTGGCTGCTGTGGTGGGCTTATTCCTTCCTCTCTTTTCAAAAGCAGTGGAACTCAGTAAGTGGAATTTGGGGAATTAGGTAGTGCTGGGTCATCTCTGTTCATCATGAATAGGGGCTCTGGGGGTTGTTTGTGCTGTGATGTCCCTCTTGGTCTCAGCAGGGATGAGCCTTCTCTGTCCTGTCATGGATGGGGGCTTTGGGAGTTGGTTGTGCAGGTGGAATTTGGGGAATTAGGTAGTGCTTGGTCCCCTTTGTTCATCATGGATGGGGGCTTTGGGGGTTGGTTGTGCTGTGATGTCCCTCTTGTTCTCAGCATGGACGAGCCTCCCCTGTCCTGGTGATGCACAACAAGAAGCTGAACTTGTAAAACCAAGTGCCAGTGGGACTTGCTTTTGTTTAACACTGAGGCAGGTTTGGGACTGTGCCCCTAACCCTACAGATAACCCCATGGGGGTGGAACAGGCAGCAGAACAACCCAAGGGCTGAGTGCAGCACTGCCAGGCCACGGCTTCCTGGGACATCAGGCCTTGGGTACAGGGTGGCCCTGGCCTCCGTGGAGGCTGAGCTCCCACCTCCCAAATTCCTCTGGGAAGGGCTCAAACCCTGTGTGAGGGCTGAGCCACTCCTGGGGAGGGAGCTGAGGGCAGGTGCCCACTTCTTCTCCTCGTACAACCGCCCGCTTGTTGCTTTGATTTTTGCACTTGCTCGTCACATAATGCCTTTTTTTTTTTTTCCGAGAGGCCGAAAACTATGGAAAAAATGTTGCAATCTTTGCTTCGTTTGCGCTGTCAGACATTCCTGGAAAAGCCTTATCTCAGGAATTCGGCTCTGAATCCCAGGATTGTGCGCCGGCAGGGCCCTGTGCCAGCCCCGGCTGCGCGGTCCCGCTGCCGGCACGGGGCACGCGGCCGGGCCTGGGCTGCTCGGGTGCTCTCAAGTAGATTCCACCCCAAGTGTCCAGACGGTTTGATAGGTTTTTTTCCCTCCAAAAATGGCCTTTTTTCTTTCCACAACTGAATTATTTGTGCAGACAAGAAGACCTTTTTTTTCTGCTCTTCTTCTGATTTTGGTGGGAGTGCTGCAAGTGGGGAAGCAACGGGGGCATCCGTGGAGATCCCTGCGTCCTTCTGTAATGTCAGGAGATGTTTTTCCTGTTGTCTTTGCACAGTTCTTCCTGTTGCTGCTCTGTGGCTTTCCCATGACTGGCTTGTTCACAGGCAGGCTGGTGTTTTTTGGCTTTTTTGAAGGGAGGAGAAAACCCAAACCCTTGGGAAATGCACGGGCTGCCAGTCCACAGGATTGCTGAGTGCTGAGGGCTGTGTGATGCACCCACTGATTTACTGATGTGATGGCCACGAGCTAAGCCCAGGTGGGTTGCCCAGAGCAAAGATCTGCCCTGGACCACCTGGGCCTCCCATGGATGGGGCAGCCACTGCCATGCACCAGGGATTGCCCTGCTCCTCTGCACACCAACTCTGCCTCCTCCAGAGCCTCTTTCCCCTGGCAGATGGGTCCCTAAGCAGCACTGCTGGTGTTGTAAATGCATTTTCTTTGTGCTGGAGGAGGCAGGAAAGCTTTTCATCCCTGATACAAGGCAGAAACATCTGGACCCTGACCCATCTGCTGCTCCCAGGAGGAGTTGTGCTGCTGCTTCTCCGCTTTAAAATGCATAACTGAAACATCTGAACCTGCTGCTTTTGCTCTGTCAGCTCCCCCAGAGTGGCTTTCCAGCCTTTATTCTTTCAGACTCTTTCTTCCAGCAGTGCTGGACTCACATAACATGGGAAAGGTGGGATGGAGAGATGGAGGTGCTGTTTAACTTGTTGTAATCCTTTTTACGACTGAAAATGGTGTAGCAAGGCTTCGTTGAAGCCTTGTGCTGAGGAAAATTATTTCTCAATGTCTAATTCCATTATTGATAGTGACTGTAAAGTATCTCAACACAAAGAGATGGGAGGGAATTCCCCTCCAGCCCACTGGGAAGGCTGAGACTGCTCCAACAGGAGAACGTGTCAGCGGTGAGGGGACACTTCCTAGCACAGGAGGGGAGAGTTCAGTCACCCCAGCAAGTTAGACCTTCAAAGATTTGTTGATATGAAGATTTAAACAATGATTTCAGCTTTTTCTTGAATGCTAAAGTGACCATCTGCCTACATGATGTGCACCTGTGGCCACAGTGCTGCT